AAAAACACTGAAATTAGCTATTGTTAGAATTTGAATGCCATAACACTCTGCTAAACTCACAAGTGCACAAAAGCTTGACATAAGTAAATTTTATGCATAAAGAAACCTTTAAGAAGCTGCTTTAAATTCCCAAGATCAGAAAATCGTGCGCTTTACAAAGATATTTTAATTTCTTAGTAAGTCAATATTTATAATATATGCACTCTGGCCTGTCAGTATTTTACGCGTAGTTGTAGGGCATTCTAACAATACGTTATTTCAATAGTTTGCGTTTTTTGGGACCCCCTGTAATGGTCGACAACTTGCATGTTAGACCAAACGTTAATCTATGTAAGGGAGTGGTCATTATTTATGGGGAGGGGGGCGGTAAATGGGGGAAAATAAGGATTGAAAACTTTTTTGACTCCCTTCCAGAATGAAGGCAAACTTTTTGTGCCGCCCCCCCCCTCCCTTCATAAACGTAGAAACTTTTCTGCCCCCCCCCCAGTGTGGATTAAAAAATTGACAGCAATGAAACAGGTGTGCGTTGCAGGTAATATTTGAATTTGAATGCCTTATCATTTGAATGCCTTAGCACTCTGCTAAACCCTCAGGTGCACAAAAGCTTGACATAAGTAAATTTTATGCATAAAGAAACCTTTAAGAAGCTGCTTTAAATTCCCAAGATCAGAAAATCGTGCGCTTTACAAAGATATTTTAATTTCTTAGAAAGTCAATATTTATAATATATGCACCCTGGCCTGTCAGTATTTTACGCGTAGTTGTAGGGCATTCTAACAATACGTTATTTCAATAGTTTGCATTTTTTGAGACCCCCTGTAATGGTCGACAACTTGCATGTTAGACTAAACGTTAATCCATGTAAGGGAGTGGTCATTGGAGGGGGGTTGTAAATGGGGAGAATACGGATTGAAAACTTTTTTGACCCCCTTCCAGACTGAAGGCAAACTTTTTGTGCCCCCCCCCCCCTTCATAAACGTAGAAACTTTTCTGACCTCCCCCCTCCCAGTGTGGATTAAAAAATTGACAGCAATGAAACAGGTGTGCATTGCAGGTAAAGTTAGATATTAAGACAATCTGTTTAATCTAGCTCATGATGTTTTACCCTGGTGAATATAATTCGACAATATATGATTAAAAAATATATATTATGTGTTACTACTTTGCAATGCAGCATTTGTCCTGCCATAACCCTAACCTATGGCCCGTCTTCATACAGCGAAATGATTTAATTTGAACACAGGGCTTTTTTTAAGAACTTGTCTGGGGGGGGCGCATCTACATAAAGGGGCCATACTACAGGGTGTATAAATAAAAACTGAACAGATTTGAAATTGCTCTCAATTTCGCCAAACAGCTATTAATATCCAGTTTTTTTATGTAAAAAAGTTTTTGGGGGGTACATTTCACGAGGGAAAACGTATTAACCATAAAATTATCTAACATACGGCCCTCGCACTATTTTCATATTTAATGGCATAAAAAGTATTAAAGATTACGCCTATTTACATATGAGAAAAAATAATTAGTAATTAATACAATTACAATTTAGTAAATATTTACAATTTATGCAAAATAGATCTTCGATATGGTTAGTAAGGTTAAGCTTGTTAAGAAAGATTTTACGGATTTTTTGTTTGGCGTTAGTATATGAAGAGCAAGATGGCGAAGCAGCAAGTTGCTTACAATCGCTATCTAAGCAATTAAAAAGAATGGAAGCACTGTACAGAAATGTTCGTTTGCCAGAGTCAGTACGCGGGAAGGGCGGTTGAAGGTCATAATAGAATTAGATAAGAATTTAAACATTTGCTTAACAATTAAGATCAAAGATTGGGATTATTCGAATCTGGGAAGAAAGAAGAACAGAAGGAGTAGAAAAGTCAGCGTCTAGAATAATACGTGCTGCATGCACGCTTTTGCAGTCGAAGAATGCGAAGTAAAAGTGTTTTTTAGCAGTTTCCCCAAGTTACAGAGCAGTAGATAAAACTTGAATTAATACAGGAGTTATAGAAACGAAGAGCACAGTCCTTAGTTAAAAAGGGTTTAATCCTGCGTAATAAAGCAAGTCTACTATTAATTGTTGAACACAAGTTGTCAATATGCTTGGTCCAAATTAACAACTCGTCAAGCGTTAAACCCAACACTTTTGCTTGCTTAACCTGTGCAAGCACGTTGCCATTAAGAATAACTGATAAAGAACGGTCTGAAGTATTCTTAAGTTGTTGCGGAGAATGGATGAGCATGGTCTTTGTTTTCAATGTAATAGTCACCATTCAGTTTTGTTGAGTCCATGTTGAGAGATCTTGAGCAACAAGGCTAAGTTTCACATTTAAATCATGAATGGAAAAACCTTCTGTTAGTACGGTACGGTGGTGTCATCTGCAAACATTGTGGATTCTGAGTGCGAAAGTTGAGAAGGGAGATCATTGGTAAATAATGAAAAAAAATTGTGAACCAATGGGGAGGGGGGGTTCCAACAAACTAAAAATGACTTACGCACGAAATTTAAAAGCTTTAATCATATTTTGAGTTGATAGATGGAAAATTTGTTGGGTTTTTAATTACTGTACAAAATGTCAGACAATTGGCTTTAGTTTAATCCCGGGATCTCGCCTTTATCGAGTAACTCTCCTTGCCGGGTAACTCGCCTCCATATGACAGGCCATATAGTACTGAAATTTCTGATACAATTTACTTGTATTTCATGACACTATTACAATTTTGGTTAGCCGGGTTCAGTTCATGAAAAGTTCGCCGTCTAAACCGGGCCTTACTGCTATTCTTACTACGTTGTGTCGTCCTCTGTGTATCCGTGGATCATCAAAACACTTTTGTTAAAATATGAATGCCTTGATTAATTTCTAATATTAAGTGGGGTGGTGCAAGCGTGTTAAAAGAAATTATATTTAGTTGATATCACGAGATACCACAAATATATACAGGGTGTCAGTAAATAAAAGGTGATCGAACTTCAGCGGGCTATTGCATCTGAACTACGCTGCGTATATGACCGTGGTATTTTCATATTCAGAAAGAGCAGGCTTTTAGCTGTTGAACGATATGTTCTTCATGAGTTCATGCGAAGTCAGAATCGCATATTTTCACCGTGGAGAGTTGAACCTAAACCATTGAAAATTAATTAACCCCCTTTCGGACTTAAGTTTATGAATTTCACATCATTAAACTACACACATATTCATAATTATTATCAAGTAGGAATAAATTTTAGCTAAGCTACGACAAGTTCGTGATTAATTGCTTTTTCTTTTGTTATATGCACTGCTTTAATTAGGCACAGAGGTGAAAATTGCGATTCTGATTAGCATTTTTTATCGGACTCGTTCTTGCTTATTTTTCTCCACTCGGCATGAAAGACATGTCATTCAATAGCAAAAAGCCTGATCTTTTCGAATATGAAATAAAATTGTTCATACGCAGAGTAATTCACGCACAATACCGCGCTGAAGTTCATTACCTTTTTTTATACACCCTGTACTATATGTCATTAGGGAGTTTGGCAACCTAGAACGGCAACAACAACGGCAACGGCAAAATATAATGGCTTATATTGTTGTATTTGAGCCAAAGTATATATATATATACGTTACTACATTTAATAAATTTGCGGCCTCTTTAAGTATTCCTGTTTCTCTCAAACAGCCCTTAAGTAAAAATAGTCCGCGAATTCAAATAAAACACCTCAAATAAAATCGAACGAATTAATTGTTGCCGTAGTCATGTACCGTGAAAATGTGCAAATTACGTACCAGTTTCAACAACTAATACGGCATTCAACGCTTAATAAGCAGTTAAGACCATGCAATTTACATTCGTCTTTGTCTTTTAGGATCAATGCTATTTATTGTTGATGACGACTTTGCCGTTGTATTTGCCAAACTCTCTATTGTCTTCCTGGGGTCGGTTGTATACAGGGAGTGTAAAAAAAACGAAACCTCGGAATTTCCCAAGGAATCGACATTGTTTTAAGGACAAAAGAATTTAGGTGCCTGGGAATTTAAAATAGCACAACTGTCTAAATTACTGCACACGCGAGTGCATAAAGCAAAATTTATGCATGTATTTAATTAATGACACTTAGGCAGTGTTTACACTGTACCGTTTTCGTAGCGTTCTCGTATTGTTCGAGAGAACTAGACTATTGTCTTGCGTTCCCTTGAGGATTAAGAACAATACGAGAACGCTACGAAAACGGTACAGTGTAATACGGTAATATGATTTCAATCCCCAGAGGCCTAAAATATTTTTGCTTAAGAATTGCGAAGTGCATTTCTTAGGAAATTCCGAAGTTGCGTTTTTTTATACACCCTGTAGAACTCTTAATCACTTTTTAATCACTATTAATTTTTGTAGTTAAATAGTGATTAACTCTCAAATACACTCTTCTTATTGGATGACGTTTCCACTAACTGTAGTTAACTTGAATCAGCTTTTTATACAATCGGCCCCTAAATATAGCTAGCGCTAAAATATCCTAATGTTACACGACCCCTTCTCTCGGGTCAGTATTCTGACCAATACAGAAGGATCGTCGAGGCAGTAAGGGTAATAGCTTAACAGAATAAGATCGATATCACTGATACCAACAACAAGGTTTCTTTTAGTCATATATATATTATTTTTTATAATATTACGCGTCCTCGTGCGTGGCTAAAGCCGGTTTCCCACTAGACGGAATTTTGCGCACGGAGCGGACTTTTTCTTTGTCTTGTGATTTCTCGGGTGGAACTAATTAGAAAAGACAAAGAAAAATTCCGCTCCGCGCGCAAAATTCCGCCTCATTAAGGCTGGTTTCCAGTCAGTGGAATTTTGCGCGCGGGCGGAATTTTTTAGGCGGGTTTTGATCTGCGCATCCTTTGCGCACAAAAAGAAAGTTGACCTCTGTTCTACTTTCCCGCTTTGCGAGAGGCGGAAAATTATTTCAACCAATCAGATTGCGTCTTGAAGACACCTTCCTGCATTGCTGTGGTTTGAAAAGAAAAATGTCTGACAATGCTAAAAGAATTGTATGCGGTATAGAAGGACGTAAAACCATGCTATTAAGCCAAAACAGAGGGACAGATCAAAGAAATATCTACTTCAGTGCTCTTGAAAATCTTCCCGAAGTCAACCGAAGCATAATACATCAACCAGAACCAAGTCAACAAGTTTCTGCAAGTAGTTCGTCAGGTGAAGGTATGTCGTGAAAATTTATACCGTATATTAAGACCCTTTTGAAGTTTGACATTCGACTAATAGTAAATGCTTAGCTCTATATGAACTGATTTGGTGTAATTATTTAATGTTTTTGACTTTTTAGCATGTATTAAAACTCGTCACGACTCAGACAGTCAACTCAGAGGTTTGTTGATTTTAATTTTATATGTTTGTATTTATAATACTGCAGTTGGTGTCAGTGTGATAGAAGATACTGTGTCAGGTGAAGAAGCAGTAGATGTTGATAATGATGGAGAACCAGGAGAAGAAACATATCTCGATGAATACACTGCCGAGGGTTTGATAGAGGAAGTCAGAAGAAGTCGCCCTTGCTTGTGGAACACCTCGTTGAGGGTTTACAAAGAAGCAAACAGAAAGAAAATTGCATGGGAACAGATTGCTCAAAAATTTAGCAAAGATGGTTAGTTTGTGTATATGATTATTTACACTGTCAATAGTGATTAAACCCCTAAAACAAATAGGCCTGGGGCCGGTTGTATAAAAAAGTGATTAAAGTTAGCTACAGTTAGTGGAAACGTCATCCAATAAGAAGCGCGTATTTGAGAGTTAATCACTATTTAACTACAAAATAGTGGTTAAAAAGTGATTAAGAGTTTTATACAACCGGCCCCTGGTGACAGCCGTGCCTTCATCTGTAGTCCCGGATAGAACGGGCCATTCCATGTAGTATAGGCCACCCCCTATTGAGGGGTCTAGATCTCCAACAAGGGAGGGGGTCTTTTATTTAAATTTTCCACAAAATGGCCCAATACACTCAATGTTGCCATCTGATATTACTGTTTTTGTTGTGTTTCTGTTTTTGTTATGCAGCTCAGGTTTTTACCTTTTGTGAACACTATATTCTTAAAAAGTAAAAACATGTTGTGTTTAGTTATAAATAATAATAAGTATATTTACTCAGCCTGTACAGCCTGAAAAGGTTTTCCAGAAGGTTTCCTTCTCCCTAACACATGCTGATGCTTGTCTTTAATAATTATCATATTTTTTGTTTTCTAGTTGATTTTCTGAAGCTTCAGTGGAAGTATTTAAAAGACAATTTGAAACGATGTCTTGACAGGCGAAACCATAGAGATTATAAATTTAATTTAATTTAATTTATTAGCTTTGCCTTGTAGATAACTATATTACAATTAATGGCAGGGAGTCCGTAACAGCACTTAGCCAATTACTACGGCCCCGTAAAACTAACATTAAAACTAATATTACAAATTTAACAAATACAATAATCAACTAACAACAAACAGCATATGAAAATAACAACAATACGTCTTTCACATGCAGCACGAGATTGTTATTGTTATTGTATTTTAATTTCACATCCCTTAAAAGGCTTTTCAGCGAAATTTTACATAATTGATCTAAATTTTTATACACTGTAATAATAGAGAGACACACATAACAACACACAGTCACACAACACACACACACACACACACACACTTGGTAGTACTACACAAATATATATGCTATTTACATCAAAATGTCTTAAGATTGGTCCTAAATTTAAATGTTTCTACAAGTCTCTGTTTTAAAATATGTTTAAAGTCTTTCGTTGTTTCGCAGGCCCTAAGTTCTGGTTTTAAGGAATTCCAAATTGTGGCCATTCTGAATTTGAAAGATCGTTGCCCGGTTGCTGTTCTGTGTAAAGGAGTTTCAATCATGCTCGAGTTCCTAGTAACGCGAGATGAAATGTCACCTCGTCTCACAAACTGTTCAGTTAGGTATGCAGGTGCGTTTCCTGTCATACATTTAAATGCCACGACTGCATCACGAAAATATAAATACTGTCGAACAGAAAGCCACTTTAGTTCTTGCAGGATTGGTGTGACATGATCGTATTTGCCAACTCCGCTAACTATTCGACATGCAAAGTTCTGCACTACCTGTACCTTATTTAAATTTGTTTGAGAAGTGTTGCTCCAGACTGTAGAGCAATAATATAATTTTGAAAAAACTAGAGAGTTAATAATAATTGTTAATGTGTGTTTGTCAAAGCAATGTTTCACGCGGTTTATTTGACCTAAACGAGACATACATGAGGAGATAGTGGCTTATACATGGCTGTCGGACGTCATACCAGAGTCGAAGATTACGCCGAGATCTTTGGCGCTTGTTACAGGAATGATTTCTTTACCGAGAAGTGAGAGGCGAAAATTAGGACGTTTTGCTCTCATCTGTCTGCTACCGCATATCATGGCCTTAGTTTTTTCTGGGTTTAACAGTAACTTGTTATCAAAACACCAATTACGTATTCTCAAGAGATCTTGATTTATTTCTGAGACAGCTCTTTGTTGGTGTTGCAGAGAAAACGACATTAGGAGTTTTGTGTCATCGACATAGGAATAGGGAGAACATTGTTGTGGAACTGATGGCAAATCGTTCACATAAATACTAAACAGAAGTGGCCCAAGTATAGTGCACTAAACAAAGCTCCTGGGAACGATAAAGTTCCGATACATGTAATCAAAACTTGCTTGACTGTAATTTCACCTACCATCACTTCAATTATCAATGCTTCACTATTAACCTCTAGTTTTCCGAGCGTATGGAAAAACGCTGAAGTTGTTCCTATCCACAAGAGTGGTGATCATGAGATCGCAAATAATAATAGACATATATCGTTATTGCCAGTGCTATCAAAGATCTGCGAACGAGCAGCTTATAATCAGTTTTCGACCTACCTTCTCTTGAATGATCGTTTATCGTCTAAACAAAGTGGAAACAAGCATCTACACTCAACAGAAACCTCGGTAATTCAGACTACAGACATGATCCTGAATGCCATTGACAAGAAACAGCTAACTGCGATTGTATTACTCGACATGAGCAAAGCATTCGATAGCATAGATACCACGACTCTGATTACTAAGTTAGAAGATGTTGGCGCGTCTTGTCAGGCGATTCAATGGTTCCAAAGCTACCTGACATCCAGGTATCAAGTAGTAAGAATACAAACAACCTTATCCGACCCTTTAGAGGTTTTCTATTTGAACAACACCTTCGAAGCACGCAATGACGTCAAAAATCAGGGCGCTGGACAAATCCGAGTCTGCAATGAAAAGAACAACATGGCGCCCAAATTTGACAAAATCGCAAACTTTGACAAGCAATTTCTCCTTTACTATTAATATTTAGACCAAAATACTTGAGGAACATTCTAATAAGGGTAAGACCTTTCATATAAACCACACTTGTATTTGGACTGGAGTTCCCCTTTAATTAGCTGAATGGGTCTCACAGTTTAAATAAAGATTATTATTATTATTATTGAAAGCCAAAACTACAAATATATTTCAAATACAAACTATTTTCCGATAATGGTGACGGAATTGGTCTAAAATACTTTTTGTTTAATAAATAGTAGAAGGAAAAATTATAAAACGCCTTCTTTAAACACAAACAATTATTGATTTGTTGCGTTATTTATTTATTTTGGAGCTTTTAATTGATGACAGGTGACCACCGAGCGGAGATGTATTGCCGCCTAATCGCGTTTGTATGGAAAAATATCCATCTCCAGTTTACAAAATTCTGTCATACAAAGTCATGGGCGTAACGGAAGGAAAAAATTAGGAGGGCGGAAAGAAATTTGCCCGACTTTTTCGGATTGTGCCCGAGCAGTGCCGAAATTTTTTTTCCGGAACAATTAATTTTGGCGACCTACCCCCCCCCCGTCGCCAAAAAATTTTCGGTCAGTGTACCATTGTAGGGGTCCAAAAAATTATCGGACATACCAAAATTTTTCGGAATATCGACCAAATTTTCCAAAAAAAAAAAATTGACAGAATTTCCCACAAAATTGACAGAATTTGTCCCATTTATTTTTATAATAACCCACATTGCCCCCCCGCCCGGTACGCCCATGATTATATTACATCAACCACGGGTTTCGAATTGATTCTTTCAAGCACATGTAACAGTGGAAGTTTTTATAGTTTTACAATATTAAATATTTTATACTTATTAACTAAAGTTATTATTAAGAGAGATTTGATTGCTTTGACTACTTTTTTGGCTTTTTAATTCCCCACTCTTCGCCCGACTTATGTTGAACATTTGCCCGACTTTTCGACTTTGTAATCTTTTGGGGGGGCAGCTGCCCCCCCCCCCCTGCGCCCCCGGTCCCGTACGCCTATGTACAAAGTGAAATTTTAACTAAATGGACTAGCATTGTTCTCCAATAAACCTAAGACGAGCATTAACAAGAAATAGTGGCTAGGAGACCATCTCATAAATGTTAACCCGCCCATGCATAGGGGAGGATTTGCCTCATAGACTCCTTCCTTTGTCGCGGGAAATGAGTTTGACCAAAACTTTTGTCATTTGATATGATTAACTTAGTTATTCATCTACATATTTTAATAAAATTTAAATTTCAGAAGCAATCCACTTTTTTACTACGCCTTGCGGAATCCATTAGGTTTTCTATCATGAATGACGGACTCCAATGGGACAAATATTACTGATCCCATTACTGCCTCCCAAATCGCCCGTTCCAAGTAGATATTTGGCTTATTATTACTTTCGTGAAAATAACATACATTATTCAATATAAAAACACGGATTCATGTTCTGTAGACCCTCGCACGACTTCGGTGCAAAGTTAGAAAAATTGCAAATATCCGTCCTAATCATGAGCGCCATTTTGGATTCCTGAACGTGTCTAATATATTTGAGGATGAACAAAAAAATAAGACAATTTTCAAGAAATGATTATTTGAACAAGAATCAGGATACATCAAGGAAGTCATAGATGTATTATGAAGCCAAACGAAAATTGTGTCAGAATTCGCTGGACCGTTCTTGCAGACAATGCCTCTTAAATTTGAGAACAAAATCCCAGCCAATCAAATTGACTTCGAATTATTTTGGAAGTTGCATTTTTGCAAAAGCATTTTTCTACGCATGCGTGTTTATTCTATAAAACAGGACACGAAAACAGAAAAAGAAGCAGCGAAGTTGTTTTACAACTTTCAAAAACAGTGTTTTTACTAGTAGGTAATACACTGCGCTGCAAACAGTACATGCATGTGCAAGAACTTGTGACTGTTCAACAAATGGCAAGTGGAAACTTTGTGAAACAGGTGTTGGTACGGCGATTTGTTTGGCAATACAAGTATTTTTTCTAGAGTTATTTTTTGAAGAAACTTGAGTTGAATGCTCGGCTTTAATAAAACTACAGTCTACAGTTTTGGTGGCGGCAATCGACAAAGATCTTGTGAGGTAAATCCATTTACTGTACAGTGTACACAATCTTGATTACGGCATTTGTGTAACAAACTATATTTTGAAAACCGGCAGATGGCAGTCGTAGCTGTTTCTTTTGGAGTTTTGTAAATTTATAAGGTACTTTTCCACAGTATTAAAACACAATAAAACAATAAATTGTGATGTTCATGCTTAGACTATAGGCATAGCACCCCAAAATGGACAGAAAGTTGCCGTATCTTTTACTTTAAGGTACTTCCGCAGTTTTTCATTGGGCACCTTTACTGCGCACATCTTATAACTTATATTATTATACATTTAATATGTATTCTCGTTTCTAATTGGTAAGAAAGCACCGGCTAATTTTCAGTATTCGGCATTTATTACGTATTTTCCGCCGATGACGTCATCAGCGTCCAATACTTGTTTTTTTGGATCGAACTTGCATCCAAAAAAAAATTATTGGACTGTCTCGTGTCCAAGCCCTTGCGCGGCCAAAAGCTTGACCTATAAGCGCGCGAAACAAACAAAAACAAACAATGGCCTACAGCAGATTTGCTTCGCTGAATGAAAGTGAACTCTCCGAATTATTAGCAGATAAAGATAGTGAAAGCACGAAAAAAAGCCACAAAGGGGTAAATAGAAGTAGAAATAGAATATTTAGCTGAGCTTTGACTTTGTGCAAGGTGTTTGATATTCAAATTGTACCTTTCCTACCTCACGAACAGGAATCGTTTTATACGTGTCTTCTCAACCTCGTTCCCAGGGCTTCAGTGTGAGGACGAGGCGAGACACGAGGAAGCCCTGGTCCGGGCCGGTCACGTGACGACAAAAAATGGCAGTATTCGACAGCTACTCGTCAAGGAGTGGCGAGATATTCTTTAATGAAATCAAATGAAATATACAAGTCTTCGAAACAAATAAATAGCCAAAAGACTTCTCAATCGATATTATTTATTTGTAGAGCGAAATTTGGCACGAATCAGCTGAAATCTCTGAAGATCCCGTCTATGTTTTCTAAGATATACCGATATTTCTGGAGATTTTCAACTACAGGCAAAGCTGCATCCAACCTGCATCTAGGCGTCTCCATGCAAGTGGTGATTCACACGAAATTTCCTTTCTCTCGTCTTCAACAATATGGCTATTGCTATAATTAATATTTAGTTTAAATATGCTCTTATAGATCTGACTTAGTTCAATATAAATAAACACAAATATAAAACCTCGCGTAACCTGTTTGCTGTACAGGAATATACGGATTCGCTTGTTTCGCCGGACACCAACACTTGCCGTTTAGGAGCAATGCTTGCCTACAAATTTTATCCCCTTCACAATTTTTGTTTTATTTTATCGTATAGTGGCAATTTTCAAGTATTCGGGGGATTCTGAAACTGTAAAACTGGGTGGCGTGCGAATCTTGTAGAGACTACATCGGCCTAGGCGTAGAGCTATTAAGTAAACCGGGCCTAAATTAATTTAGTAGTTTCATTTAATTGTTTGTGTTGCTTTTATTTGTCATGATCAGTACAGAATATTGTAAATTAAAATATTACTACAATGCAATACGCGTAGTATTTCATCAGACATCTGCACTAATAAATACAGTACAAGGAAAACTACACCTTAAATAATAGTAGACGTTTCTTGTTTTGTCAGGAAACATCACAGCTCACTTCGACACGGCTTTTGAGTTTTGTAACCGGCCGAGACGAAAGTAAATCATGCAGTCAGGAAATTAACGTCTTACTTTGAAAGATTATTTTGCAAAACATACTCGTACACACAAGAATCATAAAAATACAAATGTTGAATTGTTATTGTCAACTGTCAAGTTCAGTTATTTTTAGACCTGATATGGTGTTAGCCAATCAGAATGCAAAATTGACCGGCCCGGACCAGGGCTTTCTCGTGTCTCGCCTCGTCCTCACACTGAAGCCCTGGGAACGAGGTTGGTTTCTTCTTTATTCGTTTTTATGTCTTTAAATGTATAATAAAACAATTATTGGATTCGGCTTTCGCATGATATCAAGAATTATTCAGACCTCGGTCTATGTTATCCGCCTCAGCTTCGCTTCGGCAGATAACATTGACCTCGGTCTGAATAATTCTTGATATCATGCTCAGCCTCATCCAGTAATTGCTTAATATCATCCATTATACATACCGTTTAAAACAAAATATCATTTTATGACAATTTTATGTTACTTCAAAACATCTTTGGTTACATTAGTGCAAAGAATTACGTTAAAATTAATGTTTTCAAAAAGGCATACAAAATTATTTTAGTATTTTAACAAAGTCATTTACGTATTTCACGTTTTAATGCCACAGTTCCCTAAAAAGATCGGTGACCGAAATTGAAAGAAAAATCATTCCCGGATCTTGAAAAAAATGCTTTATCAATGCATGTTCTCAAAGAAAGATATGTAAAGAAATGTGCAAAAGACATTTATGGATTAGAATTGTACACGTTAGTAGTTTCTTTTTGCTCAAAACACAATACTTTTTCAAAAATAATTACAAGATAGCTGTACTAAAGCAAAATCCGCGCTAAAACGTCGATAAATATCGGGCTGTTTTGAGTTTGCTGTTACTCGAAATAAGCGTCAAGTTGGCGCCATATTGGGGTAAA